AAGGAAGTACATGACATGCTATGTCTGTGNGGGCGTTTATGCACACCNTCGAAAAATCGGATGGCACAAGCTATGGGCGAAAAACAAGTGTTGTCGCCCATAGGAGTTGCTTAGTGGCTTCTATATAAATAATGAATATATATATATATATATATATATATGAGCTGACTGTCCTGCTAAGAATAGGCTGGACGGCCCAAATTCAGATGGCCCTGACAGGCATGGGGGCATTTTCGTCATGTTTTATTTTGCATATAATTCTTTTGTTATTTTTTCTTGTTGTGCCTAGGTTTCTCACACCTCTTTTCAAAATTCCTGGTCAAAAGGATTTATTGCAAAAGTGTAAAATGAAAAGGTGACATAGACACTGGCTGTTGGATATTCTTGGATTGAATCTGAGCTGTTCCGGCATATGCTATTCAATAGGCTAGCTGGGTCAAGAAATCATTATATATAGATATATATATATATATATATGTGGAAAAAGTTATAGAATGAGACCATTTGCCTTTGGTACAAAGCGGTCACATTAATTTTGACCATTGGATGTGAAATTGAGTGGCTGCAATTATTCCATCGACCAAGCTCAAACTTCAAAAGAAATTTTTTCGAACTTTGTGACACATCCAAGCTATCAAATTTCACATTGGATCGTTGTAAGTAATTGTGACTACCTTGTATCAAGGTAAATGGTCTCATTCTATACAATCCTATATATATATATATAAGGTTTGTCTAGAGTTAACCATCCCTCAAAATACAAAGGCTAATGTTAGAATGAGTTGTGATGAGGTATTTATTAAAAAAGTCACTACTTTTTGTTTAAAAAGTTATTTTAATGGGTAACTTAATCATTAAGGGAAAATTTAAATTTTTACAAAAGTACAATGGTATTTTTGATGTTAGTATCCTGGAACTTTATTAGTAGAATACCCTTGTCCTTTAGTAATAATTTCAACTATGCCCCTTACAAAAATGACAAAATACCCTTGTCTGTTTGTGATATTTAACAAACACCGTTACTTGATGAGCAAGATATCACAAACAGTAATTTTTTAAAAAAAAAAAGACACTTCATATTTAGTAAATCCACCATTCACAACTCACTCTAACATTAACCTTTGTAATTTGAAGGGTTGTGACTTGTAGATTATCCCATATATATATATACATATCGTGGGGATGTGTGTTAGTATTTTTTATTTTGATTTTTAGTTTTTTGCAGAGTGGATTGAGCTGAAATTTTAAGGCTGTCTGCACAACCATCATGCACTTAATAAAATAAAAAAATAATTCTCAAAAATTAAAATTACCAAAAATTCTCATGAAATATTGCAGGGGTATGTTGTTTTTTTTTGGATTTAGGTGCTTGAGCTCTAGGCACAACACCCTGAAAATTTCAGATCAACAAATTTGTAAATAAAAAATTGAAACTCGTAGAATTTCAACTATTCAAAATCGATTGGACAGCTGGGAGCCCATGAGCAAGCGTTTGGAATTATGTTATATACATATTCTTTATACTATGGTAATGCTCGTGTCAATGAGTTTCATGCATATTTATTTGTCCGAGCTGTACTATATTTATGCTAACGTCTCATATAACCTTAATCGTGTCCTGGATTCCAACAAATAACAAATCTTGTTATGTTAGTCTTATATTATAATCCCTTACCCTTATTATCTGAATTTCATATAAAACTTTCTGGTTATATATGTCTAATTATATATTTATGTGAGCAGAGGAGATTTGAGCCTTTTCATTATTTAATGGGGCTAAGGGCTTTATTTGACCATAATTTGTGTTTCACAAATTTGAACACATTCATTGTTAATCTGACATAGTTAGACTTTCTGCCAAAGTGTTTGATCTTTAATTCAGTGTTGCATTGGGAGGGGTTGGTAGTTTGGTGGGCCTATTTGCCACGTATATTCAATGTGCATTGCAGGAGTGATGAGCTTGTGTGGGGCTGCCAAATCTTGTTTCTTTTAGGATAAGTCTCTCTTTTCAGGATATGCAACAGTTGTATTAGATCTGTGATGCCATTGTATACTGGCCGCTGTGGTAACTGAATTTCTAAGTCGCGTACATTATTCTTGTGTAATGTGTACTCTCTCAGTTTATTAGAAATTTCCAATTCCTAGTATTTTCCATCATAAAGGCCCCTTTTTCTTTTGACATCATTTCTATTTGTTTTTTACACATATTGCTTCCAGTTTCTCAGGCTACTTTCAGAAGAAAATTGTGATAAAGATTCATCAGAGAAGATTGAACAGGAGTTTGCACTGTCAAAGGCAGTTGATGCTGCAACAATGAGCTTATTGGATTCCACCTCCTGTTCAACTCATATTACTCAAGGGAGCCAGGAGGTCCAACATGAGAGGGATCAAAGAAGTTCTTCAAGCAATATGCAAGAGGCTTCTGAAGCAGATGGTACAACCCCTAGTGTTTTAAAAACAACGAATCCTAATATCTTTCATGACAGGGAGGGCAAATTATTGATCCAAGAAAAGGATGGGGAGGACAAGTCTGAGAGCCGGAGTAATAGCAATAGTGACAAGCCACTGCAAGAAGCTAAGCTAGTTTGTTATCAGCGCAAAGTTGCAGTTCTCTTTGATCTCCTTTCTGCTTGTTTGGCTGACACACCTGAAGATGAAAAGAAAGCATCACGGATCAGGAAGGGTTATGATGCACGGCATCGTATTGCTCTTCGGTTGTTGGCCACATGGCTGGATGTGAACTGGATAAAAATGGTTTGACTTCTCATGCTCAACCTTTCTCTATTCTTTTGTCTTTTTCTGATAAAGACAAACTATGGATTCCCGTTTAAAATGGGGCCCTCCTCTGCAAATGTATTAACTTTTTCGCCTTTTTATTTGGACTGATGCTATAGTGTATCTCATAAATCTTCCCAAAAATAGGCTTCACCAGCATGTGTATATTACATAGGCTCGCTGCAGCTAATAATTGGAAGTTTATTAGGAATTTTGTAGTTTTTCTCCATATATTATAGCCTTACAATATCAAACATAATAGGACAAGGTTTTTATGAGTCACCCAACTCATCTATTTACATGAGTCCTATATCTTAAATCCATCTTAGAGATGGATTTCAGATCCAAAAAATTAGGGGTCGATAATCTCTATGATAATAAACATGAATATAAAAAAAGAAAATAAATTTTAAAAATAAAAATTGATATTTTTTTCAAGTGTTTTTAAGATCCTCCATTTTAGGTTTCAGTGAGACCACCATTACCAACTATCCATCTTTGAGATGATGGCTGATGCATCAGGGGTCACATATGTGGACTTGCATCCCTGGAACACCTCTCCAACATAATATCAGATGATAGAATGAGAAATTGTCACAATCATGTTCATTTTTAGCCTTTGCTCTTTCCTAATTGGACCTATTGTCCTGTACCATATTGTACTACAGATTTTTACATGCTAATTTAACAGGTGGCTTCAAAATCCCTTAGCTGGAAAAATATTCATTCTTTTGTTTAATGGTTAGAAATAACTTTTAATGGTTGAGAAAAATATTCGTACTTAGCTCCCATTTCTTAGCTCCCATTTATTGGGTGTATCACATGATATCTCTCAAAGATAGTCCAAGTCAACTTTTTGTAAGATTTGTTTTTTTGGAGAAATAGGTTGACTGCATTAAAAGAGTAAAGAATTACATTTCTTTCTAACCCTAAAGATGCCAACCCCACATATTGGGTGCACAGACAACATAAGTTGAGATAGGGAGAGAGAAGAAAAGAAGAAGAAAACATATAGAAAAACGAAGGGAAAAAATACGTAAAAAGTGGGCAGAGCCATACATATGCTTAAAGGATACAAAATCCTTGTGCAAAGCAGAGGGCCTTGTTGATGAGAGATAAATAATGCCAAGCTAAAGATAGTCAGGTAGGGGGGCCTTTGCTATCAGATGAAAGAGCTAGTGTGAGCATCGGGCCTCTGCTAGCTGGTGAAAGAGCTGGTGGCTCTGCTATCTGGTGAAAGAGCTGATGAGAACACCCGGCAGTATAAAGTGCAGCGGACCCCACTGTACTAAGCATAGAGAACCAGGGAGGCAAATGTGTTTTGGGGTCTAGTGGAGGATGGGTAGGCAGGTGAGAACCCCAGAGAACTATGCAGAGAGGTCCTGAGGGCCAGGTGTGAGAAATTAGAGGTAATGAGGGCTGGGGGAGGTTGGGTGAGAGAGATGAGAGATCCTTTGTAATAGGTGACGAGGTCCATGGGCTCTTACTTTCCATAGCCTAAAACCCCACCCTAGTTTGTCCTTATCCATTCCTTAGAGTTGAGATGAGGTTTAAGAAAATGTGCGAGAGTACAGAGGAAGTAGGAGATATAGGGATGAAGAATTAAGAACTGGGGAGGGTGAAACGAGAAGGGATGAGAGGGGGGAGAGTGTAGAGGAGGAGGGGGGAAAGAGAAGGGATGAGAGGGGGAGTATGTGGACTGGAGCTGTAGTGGTTTTAGTGGTGGAAGGGGTTGGAGCGGGCGTGGTCAATGGGAAGATTGGAGAGAGAGGGAGAGATGAAAAAGGAAGAAAGGTTGAGGGTGAGCATGAACGCTGCAGCTATGTAATAGTTTTCGTATAAGAAGGTTGGTGGTTTAATGGGGATAGAAGATGGAAGAAGAGAATGAGGAGGTGAGGAGTGAGGGTTACAGTGATGCGTACCTGAGATTAGTCATTGAGCGAAGCGAGGACTCCTACCTCCGGGTATGTTAGTGATCATGTATCGACAATGGTCTGGTTAGGCAATGTAAAATGAGGGCGGCTCGGGAGCACAAAATGAAGCTTTTGCCCCCAGCAGACTGGTATGGAATGATTGGGCCTCTTAATTATTTTTTTTGATAATTAGCCTCTTATTTTGTTTTTCTCCCTTTTCCTTCCTTTTTTCCTTTTTTTTTTCCCTTCCTTTTTTTTCTCTTCTTTTTTTTTTCAGAAGAAATCTAGGGGGAGAGGGAAGAGAGAATTGGGGAAGAGAAGGCGATAGAGGTGAATGAGGAGATTAGGTTGCTTGCTGAGTAAATGGACCGAGAGAAGCTCCTTCCCTAGCTAGTCGATCTGCCTTGGTATTTACCTCTCTGGGAATATGTGAAAGGAAACCTGAGGAAGAAGATTGCAAAGGTAGTAGATGTTATAAAAAATGGAAAAAAGCCTACAGGGAGGCTGTTGCTCTTGTGTAGCCCATCTTACAATGTTAAATGAATCCGACTCCACCAAAATCCCTAGAGCTTCAGGTGCTAATTCAAGCACCTTGTTGAGACGTACCAAGAGGGCCATAGCTTCCGCATATATAGAGTCCTGGTGTCCTATGAATTTAGAGAAAGACATAATGGTTGAAGTAGGTCCAGCCAAGGTTCCACCTATGCTCGAGGGGCCTGGGCTGCCTAGGGAGGAATAGTCTATATTGAGTTTGTGGAAGCCTTGGGGAGGGTGGGTCCAAGGAGGTCTAGGTCTATTTGTTTGGACAGAAATGTGTAACTGGCTGTCCCAATTGTTGAGGAAGTGGGAAATTTGCGTAGTGGCAAAAATGGGGAAGGAATTGGCCCAGTATGAGATCAAAGCAGTAATCGAGTAAAAATAGACTGGGTTGTTTTATGTATACCTCTGAAGGTCCTAGAGTTTCTCTCTAACCAAAGACTCCAAAATAGTCTGCGATGGCAAGATGCCTTAGCTGTTTTCCTTGCTTTGAAAAAGGAGGTTCAAAGTAAATTTGAAATAATTGGGTTGAATTTTCAGGGGTTACCCATTGTAACCCAAAAAGGTTTAGGATAGAAGACCAGTGGTTTTGTGACACCTCACATTGGAGGAAGAGGTGAGAAATTGTCTCCTCTTCTTGGAGACACAAAATGCATCGGTTGGGGAATGAAAAGCGCCTTTTTTTGAGTTGGTCAAGGGTAAGGATTTTGCCTTGTAGGAGTACCCAAATAAATGCCTCGATTTTGTGAGGGATGGGTAATGACCAAGATAAATCGAGAAGAGGTTTAGGATTGGGAATGGGAATGAGGGAAGAATAAAAAGATGAGACTGCGAAAAAGCCCGAGGGAGCGGGAGACCAAATCATTGAATCTGGTTGTCATAGGGTGCTAAAAGATCTTCCTAAGGTTTTCAGCAGTGTGATAAGGGCTGAGGATTCTTGATCGGTTAGATTGCGTTTGAAGATGGGAGTCCATACTAGAGATGAGCTTGAGAAGGGCACGTACTTTGCAACTAGGGCCGATTGGTTTTGGGCTGCAAGAAAAAGTGAAGGAAAGCCAGAGAGAGTGAAGAAGTTCCTAACTAGGTAGCTGTCCAAAAATGAATTCTAAGGCCATCTCCTAAACAGTACCTAATTCTATTGGTAAATTCTAACCTAGTAGAAGAGATACCTTTCTAGGCCTTAGAAGATCGATGAGGAGGAGATCTAGGTAGCCAATTGTCCCCATTTAGGCCATATTTAGCTTGAATGACCTCTTTCCATAGGAGGGGGTGGGGGGAGGAGAATTTCCACCACCGTTTCCCTAGAAGGGCGTGGTTCATAAGTCTAAGATTTTTAATACCAAGGCTACCGAATTTCTTAGGATGACATACTAGGTCCCTGGCCACTAGGTGAATTCTCCTGATATCTTCCACCCCTGACCAAAGGAAGTCTCTCATGAGTTTTTCCAGTTTCTGAATGACCGAAATGGGGATATGGAAAAGTGACATGAAATAAATGGGAATACTGGCTAGAGTTGCTTGAATTAAGGTGATTCTTCCCCCAAATGATAGATATTTGCCTTTCCAAGAGGCGAATTTCCATGTGAATCTCTCTATAAGGTTGTCCCACATGGTTTTCTTTGGTTTGCTTATGCATAATGGTTGTCCCACATGTTTTTCTGGCCCTTAAAGATTTCTTCACTAAGGGTAAGTTGCTCAAGCAAATCAATTCTACCTTTATTTGTCCGATTCTTAAAGTGGATGCACCTAGGGTGATGAAAGACTTTCGACCTATAGGGTTGTGTAATGTCTTATACAAAATCATCAGCAAAATAATTTCTACTCGCCTACGAGTTGTTCTTGCTGATTTTATCAACCCTAGGCAGGCTGCTTTTTTGAAAGGTAGGCTTATTACTAATAATATTATCATGGCAAACAAACTTATGTCTCTTTGCCTTAAGAACTCAGATCGGCCTAAAATGTGTCTGCAAATCGATTTGAGCAGTGCATATGATAGAGTGTCTTGAGATTTTATAGTGGGTAGGATGCACTCTTTGGGTATTCCTGAGTTATTTGTTTCTTGGATTCACTTGTGTATTTCCACTACTTCTTTCGCTGTTATGAGGAATGGCTCACCCAAAGGTTTTTTTAAAGGTAAGAGAGGTTTGAGGCAAGGGGATCCTCTATCTCCTTATCTTTTTTTGCTGGTCATGGATTTTTTTAGTAGACAACTTGATTGTGCTATGTTGCAAGGCAAGGCATGGTTCTCGGCGCGTTTCCTTCAGGGTGTGACTATGGGGTCTCTTATCTTTTTTATACTGATGATGTGCTTATTTTCTGTGAGGCATCCATTTCTACTGCCACAGCAATGTGTGAACTTATTCATAAGTTTGAGAGGAGTACTGTTAGATTTTGAACTCATGTAAAAGCAAGGTGATAGGGAAGAATTCTGAGGGAGTTAAAGTTTGTTGAAGGGTTTCTTCTTGTCCGCTATTTGGGCCTACCATTATTTCTATTTAGGCCTACCATTATTTCGTGGACATCTGAGGC